GCTTTTAGAGATGTGAAAAAGAAAAGGACACACATACACATACTTGTATAAGTATATACATACATATATACATACATACTTGTGAACTGCCCAGAGTTGTTGGGAGTTGGGTGGTATATAAATTTAATAAATAAATAAATGAAACTATTTTATACAATACCACTCACTAACTTCTCCCTACCTTTCCAGCCCTGCAAACCATGTTTGCTTCTACCATCTCCATAACACCACCTCTTTGATTGCCTTTTTGTTCTTCAAGGTTTTTTTTTCCTTCAGGATCTCATCAGCTCCACCCACTCATGACTTTCTCAGTCTTCTCCTTCTTTTTGACTCACTGGCTCTTCCTTCATATATTTATTGTGTGATTTGAACCTCATTCATTTTGTCTACTAGGTATCACCCAATCACCTCAGCCATTTAATTTTGTTTTCAATCCACATTTATTCAACAGCCACTCATTTGAGACCCTAGTCTCTTGTTTTACTACACTTACTTCTTAAGTACCATATTTCCACTGTATTCAACTTCACTTTTATGTTTTTCCTGAGGGTTTTTTTTTTTTTGGTGCCTTTGAGTCATTGTTGACTCCTGGCGGCTGCCTGGACAAGTCCCTGCAGACTCCTGGCGGCTGCCTGGACAAGTCCCTGCAGACTCCTGGCGGCTGCCTGGACAAGTCCCTGCAGACTCCTGGCGGCTGCCTGGACAAGTCCCTGCAGACTCCTGGCGGCTGCCTGGACAAGTCCCTGCAGTTTTCTTGGCAAGGTTTTTCAGAAGTGGTTTGTGCCCTGGCATAAAAAAAATAAAAAATAAAAATAAAAAAATAAAATTCCTAGGGCTGAGAGAAAGAGAGAATGGCCCAAGGTCACCCAGCTGGCTTTGTGCCTCAGGCAGGAGAAGAACTCATGGTCTCCTGGCTTCTAGTCCAGCACCATCACCACCACACCAGACTGACGCTCATTGCCTTCAAGTCAATCTTGACTCCTGGTAACTACATGAAGAAGTCTCTGCAGTTTTCTTGGCAAGATTTCAGAAGTGGTTTGGCCTTGCCTCCTTCCTAGGACTGAGAGAGAGGGACTGGCCCAAGGTCCCCCAGCTGGCTTTGTGCCGAAGGCAGGAGAAAAACATGGTTTCCCGGTTTCTAGCCTGGTGCCTTAACCACCACACCAAACTTGCTGCCTTTCCTGACAAACCCAACTCTCATTTCCTTAAAACAAAGTGGATAGAAGCAGACTAATATAGTTATTTTTTCTTCTTTCAGCAAACATTCATTCCTTGCAACAAATCACATATTATCCACAACTTTTCAAAAGTATATCTTAACATTTCTTCATTTTCCCATTTTCAATAAACATTTTACTAAGGCAACAAATTCATGTACTTGCTTTAATTGTTCACCGTTTATGTATAACTTGCAATCCTTTGCTCCATCTTCCCTGACAAACACCAGTATCTTGATATCTGATACATTAATTTCAGATTCATACTCCTTCTTACATCAGATAAATCTTTCCAACTGTTGCTGCAAATAATTAGGGCTCTTAGTCAACAACATAGCATTTACACACACACACTTGTCCCCAGCCAATACACATCTAATGCCACCATGAGCATTTCTTAAAATTTGTCCATAAACTCATTAAAAAGTGAAAGTGACAATACCTTCCTTGACTTATCCCCTGCTCAGATATGAACCATTGCTTCGCATTTAATTTGTTCTCATGCATTTTGCTTCTGTCATATACCACTCTTAGTGCATTCAGCAGTCAACCTTCGATTCCGCATTTGCACAACGCTTTCCATAACTCAGGCCTATTTGCTTTAGGATACACTTTCTCTAAGTCAACAAATGTATAATAAACTTTCTCACATCCATCCATTCTTCAAAGAACTGCTGAAGAGGAAACATCTGCTCAGCCCTTGCCTGGAACAGAGCCAAACTGCCCTTCCTCGATTCTGCTGACTGGTACTTTTCATACTCATTCAATCTGCCAATACCTTCCAGGGCAGAGTAATTCCCCTGCAGTTTTTGCAAACTTCCTACCACCTTACTCTTGATATAGGAATAATAGAGGATGTTTCCAGTCTTCAGGCACAGACACGGTCTTCCCCCGTGGGTTAAACAAGTTGGACAGACAATCCATATGCAAACTTTAACATTTCTCCAGTTACACTGCTGCACCTGCAGCCTTATTTTCTGACATGCAGCGTTCATGACTTCCTTTCCCTTCTTATTGAACTTCTATAGCACTTGTTTTGATTCCATTCTTCAACATATCACTGTCCTTTCCATATAAATCTCTGAAGTACTCCTTCTAGCATTCCCTCACTTCAATGACACCCCAAATGATTTCACCACTTTTATTTTTAGTTCCACTCCCTGTGCTGGAGGGTTCTTGTTTAGCCCTCTTCCCCCACCCAAAACAATGCTTTATTTCCTTCAGAATCATTTCTTTTTGCCCCTTTAACTGTAAATGTTGTGCCTGAGTATATTGCTTGCCACTATTTTTTCTCTAAATATACATGCTACGTTTTCTCCAGTCATCTGTGGCAGCAGCCATTCCCTTGGATGCACCTTCCTTCATGTCAGCGTTCTCACAACATCCTTTCCCGTAGTCTCCACGCGTTTCCATGGCCTTGTGTCATGGAACCCCTTCCATTCAATTCCTAGCAGTCTCCACTTTCCTTTGTCCAGAAACCTGTTTTGTTTTCTAAAGACATGTTTGTGTTCTTTTTAGATAAACTGGTGGTTGCACTGTATGATTATGAATCAACTCATGATGGAGATCTGCTGCTTCGGACAGGAGAACAGCTGCGGATAGTAGAAGAGTAAGCCTCTTCCCGTTGTAGAGCACTATGTGGTTCATCAGCAAAAGGAATTAACGGTTCTGTCTGGAAACAGCTCAAGTGGCACTGAAGGCTTGCATTCATTGGGAACTGCGGTTTCTAATCATGTTAATTTCAGTGATATGGGTCAATCATTCATATTGTGAGAGGTTTCTAAGTGGGTTGTGAGAGCCCTCAAGATTAATTCAGCTCAACTGGTATAAAACTGGTATAAGCGTGAATGTATGTGCATATGCATGTGTGTGTGTGTATGTATGTATGTATACACACACACACATGCACCCACACATACATATAAAGACTGAGCAAAGCAGTGTGGGAATTCCATGTTTTGTGATGGTTGAATGCAATCTCTCAGTGTGGACTTTCTGCCAAGGTACACAAATCCACTTACTTGCTCTACTCTTTTGTAAATGCATAACTTGTGATGGGTGTAATAAAGGGGTTGGGCTTTGATTGGCAGGCTGCAATAGCCATCTAGATTTTTGGACACCCCTCTCCTCCCCGATGGAGACTCCTGCGTTGAAGTCGGAGTACGTCCCATCCAGGTTCACCGCCCGGGTTGGAGGGGAGGCGTAGAGTTCCTTTGGACAAAACACGTCACAGAAATGCATGGTGCAAAAGCTATTCTGTGATCATGAAAACTCACCAAAGAAGCAGGGAAGGAACTCCTCATTCAGGGAAGACTGGGGCCCAATGTGCAGCAGGCGTGGCTAAAGGAACGCCAACTGGAAGAGGGGGGAATCCTCGGTCTGGGGTCCATTCTCCCCCCCTTTATCTCATGGGTGGGGATGGGGTTTAGGAATATGGAGGCGGACACACAATTCTTCTCTCTTTTAGGACAGGGGAGTGGTGGAAAGCTCAGTCCCTCACCACAGGACAAGTGGGCTACATCCCATGCAACTTTGTCGCCAAGTTGAACACACTGGAGCAAGAGCCGTGAGTAGCGAGACCTGTTCTTCTCCATGCCCGTAGCCACAGGCGACCTGTATTGCTTACTCAGAAGCAGCCTCAAGTTCAGCCCATCGGTAGAGGAACGCATTGATTAATCTGTCCATCTGTGGATTGCATTAGGAAAGTTTCCTTTTTATTTTCTGAAGAGAATGTAAATGTTACTTATGCAGGTGCCCTACTAAAGGAAAGCTGAGCCCTTCTCTGTCCAGCTCAGCTTTCTCCAACCTGGTGCCCTCCAAATGGTGTTACACTTCAAGATTCCTAATGCGTGGTCTAACCCAGTGGTTCTCAATCTCAGCCACTTGAAGACCGGTGGACTTCAGCTCCCAGAATTCCCCAGCCAGCTTCTGGGAGTTGAAGCCCACTGATCTTCAAGCTGCTGAGATTGAGAAACAGTGATCTAACATCTTTGGAGGGCACCAGGTTGGAGAAGACTGAGCCAGGGAGACCTAGGAACAGGATGAAGTAGTCAGAGGCTATTTCATTGTTCCTGTGGATTTCTATTGAGGAACAAAGCAAATGAACAGCGGACCTGAGTAGGGCTACAAAAGGTACAGAGATTCGCCCATATCACAGGTACCAGGGATATGTTTAGCCCCACACTAAACTCATCAACCATTTACTTTCTCCCATGTGTCAACCCTTCAAGATAGGCCAGGTCAAAAAAACAGACTCTATAAGAACTACTGCAACTCTCTTTTTTTGCTATAGGGTATGGTAAAAGAATCTTGAAAGCCTGACTGAGATTCTCTCCCTCCATCTTATACCCAAGAGAGTCAAGGCAGGGCAGTCTTGAGTTTCTTCCTGATGCCCTTGTGTCTTTCAGGCTCAGCTGACGTTTTCTTAATGGCTGCAGCATATCTTCTTCAAGGCTGTCCCCACACTCTTCCACCCCATGGAAGTAGATGGTTCCTTTTTTAGTGCAGGGCAACCCCCAACCCAATTCGTTTTGGCTGATTTGGAGATTTGAGGCCATGTTGTGGACACCGCAAGGAAAGCGGTCACAGGGACTTTGGTATTTGTGAGAGCCACATTGCAGGCCTGGTTGCAACGTGTTACTCGGATGCTATACTTGGGAAGTATTAAGAGGTTACACAAATGACACAACCTCAATCTTGCCTCATCAGGATTGTGGTCTAGCCACCACTGACACGTATGATCCCTTGGGGTGCTCACTTTCTGTGCTCTAATGCAGAGGAAGATTTTTCTCAGGGGTAAAATATATATTTTTAGTTACAGTTCCACCCAAAAACTTTGTTAGTAGTTATGTTTGCCCGCATGACAAAAACATATGAATAGTCATGAGTTTATTCCATGTGAAAAAAAAATAGCAGATCACTTCAGAATGGATATGTTTTTAATTGCCAACTGGCAAGTGATTTCAACAGCTCTCAGGGCCATGTTCCCATTTTCACTGCTTACTCCTGCTTCATTCTGTGCTGCTCCTCCTCCATGTGTGTATCGGCTGGGCCATTTTCAGACATGGGTTTGGTGCTCTTTCAAAATACCACTAGTCCCAGGTCCACAAATAGTCCCATGTCAGTCCTCTTCTCAGTGACTGACCAATCACTGGGGCAAAGTAGTCAATCACTTTCCTTAAGCCGTCCCACAAAAAACCTATGAGGACAACATCAATGTCCAGTCTTGTTATTGGGGCAAAAGAACATGTGGCAGATGGGCGGAAAATTTTATGCCAACAGACTTATCTGCCAGCTCCAGGCTGGTGAATAGTACTTTTACACAGCTGTTCTCTCTGTCCCTGAAACCTTGGAGGGAAATCAGTACTCTATGCACAGAGAAAATAAAGACAGGATGGGGATCAGCAATGGCAACAGCCAATATTCTACCAGGTAGTCTTCTGCTAATTCAAGTGTGGGTAGATTTCATTTGATTCTGTGCCATCAAGTTCCTGTTGACTCTTAACAATCACATAGATATACTTTCTCCAGGATGGTCTGTCCCCAGCCTGGTTCTTCAGGTCTTCCCATGTTGTACCCATCAATGCTGCTGATTGTCCTCTTTTTCTCCTTCCTTCCATCTTTCCCAACATTATGGACTTCTCAAGGGAGTTGGGTCTTTGCATAATTTGTCCGAAGTAGGATAATTTGAACCTGGTCATTTGTGCCTTGAGTGCAAACTCTAGGCTGATTTGTTCAATGATCCATCAGTTTGTTTTCTTGGCTGCCCATGGTCTTCTGAGGAGCCTTTTTCAACACCAGCGTTTGAAAGTGTCAGCGCTTTCTCTGTCTTCCTTCTTCAAAGTCCAACATTCACTTTCATAGAGGGTCACAAGGAAAACCATAGCTTGCACGATTCCGATTTTTGTAGGTATAGACAAATAGCTTTTCATTCAGCAGTGGGAAAAGAGGGGCAGAATTTGGGGACTGAAAAGATATTTTATTTATTTATTTATTTATTTATTTATTTATTTATTTATTTATTTGACTTGTCCCCGC